TCCAAGGCGGAGCGAAATTACTCCACGACTGAAAAAGAATGCCTTGCGGTCGTCTGGGCAATCACGAAGTTCCGCCCGTACTTGTACGGGAGCCCGTTCCGTGTAGTCACGGACCACCATTCGCTCTGCTGGCTTGCTAACCTGAAGGACCCGTCAGGACGTCTTGCTCGATGGAGCCTCCGACTACAAGAGTTTAACATGACAGTGGTCTACAAGTCCGGCCGGAAGCACAGCGACGCCGACTGCTTGTCCAGAGCCCCCGTCGAAACCCCTTCCGGCTGCAGCGACGACAATGACGACGAGAGCTTCCTAGGAGCTGTAAACGCCGACGACATGGCACGACGTCAACGGGACGATCCTGAGCTGCGCGCATTAATCGAGCACCTGGAAGGGGGTGGGGGTACCGTGCCACGTGTCTTCTCACGAGTATTGCCGACCTTCGGCATTCGACAAGGTGTACTCTACAAAGAGAACTTCGGCGACAACAGCACACCGTGGTTGCTGGTAATCCCGACCGACCTTCGGGAGATCTTTCAAGCATGTCACGACGACCCGACGTCGGGACACCTCGGTTACAGCCGAACACTGGCCCGTATTCGTGAAAAGTATTACTGGCCAAAGCTCCCCAAAGCCGTCCACCTCTACACCCGATCGTGCCAGTGCCAGCGACGCAAGAAACCGCCAACAAAACCGGCCGGTCTCCTGCAGCCGATTGCTCCCCCGACCGCACCGTTCCAGCAAATTGGAATGGACCTACTTGGCCCCTTTCCGCCGTCAACATCGGGAAACCGCTGGATAATCGTCGCCACAGATTATCTCACGCGGTACGCCGAAACGAAAGCCCTCCCTTCAGGGACTGCTGTGGAAGTCGCCAAGTTTTTCATCGAGTCCATCGTCCTCCGGCATGGCGCCGCCGAAGTCCTGATCACAGACCGAGGGTCATCGTTCATGGCACAGCTGACCCAAGAAATCCTGCGTCTCAGCCACACCAGCCATCGTCGCACCACGGCGTACCACCCGCAGACCAACGGGCTCACGGAAAGACTCAACAAGACCATCGCCGACATGATTTCCATGTACGTCGACGTGGAGCACAAGACATGGGACGAGGTGCTGCCGTACGTCACCTTTGCCTACAACACGGCCGTACAAGAGACCACCGGAGTGACACCCTTTCAACTGGTGCATGGGCGCAGGGTAACGACAATGCTGGACGCGATGTTACCCCACGAACCGGCTCTCGACGGAAGTGACGACGCCCAGGTGGTTGCCCAACGGGCAGAAGAAGTCCGCCAGCTCGCCAGACACCGTATTCAAGCCCAACAACGTGTCGACGCTGGCCGCTACAACCTTCGTCGTCGGGACGTCCACTTCCAGCCTGGAGACAGGGTGTGGGTGTGGACGCCCATCCGTCGCCGCGGCCTCAGTGAGAAACTCCTAAAGCGCTACTTCGGACCCTGCAAAGTACTTCGTCGACTCGGTGATCTGAACTACGAGGTGATGCCCGATGGAACACGGACTTCATCACGCCGCCCTCCACGACCAGAAGTCGTCCACGTCGTGCGCATGAAGCCGTACTACGCTCGATAGGACAGTGGACCTTACGTATTCCAAATGACTCTTTAGTTTACCGTTCTTTTAGAGCGCAGCTCTTAGGGGCCCGTTTCCGGCTTGAGCGGCGTCGGCGTCGCCGTCGGCGTCGCCGTCGCCGTCGGCGTCGCCGTCGGCGTAACCGCGCGGTGCATCATGGGAAATGTCCCAGAATGCACCGCGCGAGCCCCCCACCGGGGTCACGTGACCTCGTGGGGGGGGCACGTGACCCCCCCCGAGGTCACGTGACCCCGGTGCATCATGGGAAATGTCCCATAATGCACCGCGCGAGCCCCCCACCGGGGTCACGTGACCTCGTGGGGGGCACGTGACCCCCCCCCCCCCGAGGACACGTGACCCCCCGAAGTCACGTGACTCCCCTGAGGTCACGTGACCCCCGCCGATGTCGCGTGACCCCAATGACGTCATCGTCACTGATGACGTCACCGGCATCCACATCGTCATCATCACTGATGACGTCACCGGCATCCACATCGTCATCGTCATCATCACTGATGACGTCACCGGCATCCACATCGTCATCGTCATCATCACTGATGACGTCACCGGCATCCGCATCGTCATCGTCATCATCACTGATGACGTTACCGACATCCGCATCGTCATCGTCATCATCACTGATGACGTCATCAGTGACGTCACTGATGTCGTCACCGGCATCCACATCGTCATCGTCACTGATGACGTCACCGGCATCCGCATCGTCATCGTCATCATCACTGATGACGTCACCGGCATCCGCATCGTCATCATCACTGATGACGTTACCGACATCCGCATCGTCATCGTCATCATCACTGATGACGTCATCAGCGACGTCACTGATGACGTCACCGACATTCGCATCGTCATCGTCATCATCACTGGTGAAGTCATCAGTGACGTCACTAATGACGTCATCGGTACCCGCATCGTGATCGTCAATGATGACGTCATCAGTGACCTCAGTCATGACATCATCGGCATTGGGGGTCACGTGACCCCCAAGGTCATATGACCCCCCAAGGTCACGTGACCACCCCCTGGTTAGTTTAACCCCCCTCCCCCAGTGCCCTTCCCTCCTCCTCCTCAAGAGCTGCGCTCTAATTCGGCGTTACAGGGAGTTGTAAGCAGCTTTCACTTTTTGTTTGCTTTTTGTTTTGTGCTGCATCGGGGCGATGCACTTTTTAAAGGGGGGAGTAATGCCGCGCGCGCTCGCCAAGTAGGCAGCGCGCGCGTGGCCTAATGGTTATCGCGCCTGCCTCCCACGCGAAAAGCTAGGGTTCGAATCCTGGAGCGACATGTCTTTTGTTTATTCCTCTAATTTAGTGTTCTGGAGAATTCGAGAATCATGTTGCTTGTTCCAGGCCCGAATGTTCCACGCGTCGAAGTTTCTTCGCCGATTATTCCAGAAGACCACGCATGTACATAAGGGGCTCCGCGTGGCGAGCCGCAGTCAGTTTTCGCCCCAGCGTTCGACTGTGCTGCTACGCCGACTTCGACGCCCGCGACGCTATGTTATTATCTTTGTACCCTTTTAGTTTTTGGCACAAGTTCGCCACATTAAACGTTTCTTTCTTTCTGTTTATTTAGTGTTCCTTTGGTCACCACCCGTGACAGTATTCTGTTGTCTTTCGGTATGCTTTTGTGATGTAAACAATTTTACGCACTTCCCACAAATATTTCATCGTCAACGACAGTTTTAAAGTATTACGCACTGCCTCGGGTGCGTTGACCTTGCGCGCTAGAGCGTCACAGGAGCGTGTATTTCCGCAAAATAAATACGAGGACCTATTTCTCCCTTTGAATCGATCACTTTTGTGGCATCACGACGAACACAGTTTCACCATGAAATCGTAACAAATAGTGATTGATGATGAAGTTGTTTGGGCCCCAACAGTATAGAGCCACATTATTTAGGTTGCAAATAAACTAGGCGTCGTTCATGCGATGTGTTTACTTCCACGTTCGAATATGTTGAGAATGAGTAGCCGAAAAGCGCAGTCTGCAGGCTGCTTCCCTGGAGTGGCCTGATATCTCCCCAACTCGGGAAAGGGAGTGGGGAGAAAGGGGTGTATGTTGTGGGAAGGTGATAATATTTATTCTCACTCAGGAGAGTCACCGGTCGTTAAAACGTCGACTCACAGATAACGGGAAAGCCTGTGGGGCCACATCTATAGTAACCATCAGTAAAATGTGGTATACAGCTATGTTACTGAGAAGTTGCGATAGTGCAAACGATGGGGCGCTGTGGGGGCAAGTGAAGCATAGATCGATCTTACGATTGTGCCATCTTCATTAGAAGCAAGAATTACGGTTTGCTTCTTTAACCCCTCCTGACGCCAATCTTTCCAATTTTGAATAAATCCGGGACAGCGTTGATCGCGCAAGCCCGCGCCAATATTTAAAGGTCTTTATCAAGTTATAAAACAGTCATCAAGCAGAGGTAAGGACGAATAAATACGTAAAAGAGTCCAAAATGGGATGAACAACCTATGAGAGGAGATGTGTTTCAAACAGTAATGAAGAGATTAGGGAAAGCCACTTGATTTATAAGTTTCGGAAATAAATGGATTATCGACGACCTGAACCCTTTATTGCGCAAGCCAATCCTTGTGCAGAGGCGGGAATGGTTCTAGCAGCCGCGCGATGCCAGAGAGCGGCTGCTGGAACGAACCCAGTGTAGTATTTCAATTTTTTCATTTAAGTAGTTCTCGCCACACTAACCAGATGGCGCCACCGTTACACCATTGTCCGTGTTATCAGGGTAGCGTCCCCGTGGCGCTCAACCCCCACGTTGTTGACCAGTGGTGTGAACTTAGCGAGAAAGTCGCTAAATTTAGAGTGTTTTCAGTCGTCCTAACGACAATTTTGTGTTTTTGGAGTCTTAGCGACTTTTTTGGGGACTTTTTTTTCTTTTTCTAGTTATGTAAATTGTTACTAAAGCTACGTGAACGGGGGAAAATATGTCAGTCGGATAGCTCTCCGGTGGCTTCCAGGGGACAGCTCTGGATGTCACTCATTTTTGCTAATTTTTACTCATCCGGTTGTGGGTGAGGTGACGTTCTCCCTCGCTTTAACGCGGGTTAAAGCGAGGGTTTTGTTTGATAAGGATGAAGCAGAACAGGCTTCCGCTGTTTTGTTCATGGACCAGGATCTTCTCGCCAACGCCTTGAGTCACTCAAGGTGTTGGCGAGTCCTTGGGAATGGGACGGCCGACTCCAACTATTCACTTGTCTCGTCACAAAAAAAAAAAAAAAAAAAAAAACTTTTACGTTTTATAAAAAAAAAAAAAATCCGAAAAAGGTCATCATCATCATCACCACTCAGCGACTTTTCGCTAAAACTGGCGACTTTTAGGTCGCGTCCTGGCGACTTCGCCCAAAAAAACTTAACAGCACTGTTGTTGACCGTTAAATAAATGAGTTACGACCCAGCCACCGTCGTCGTCGGACGTCTCTCTCTCTCCGTCCGGGGCTCCCGCGCCCGGCCCCGCCGGCGCCCGCCGTTCACCTCTTCGGCATGTAAGACCCCTCGTTTTCCGCAGGCCCACGCAGGCCCTGCTCTTCTTTATTTTCACGGGTGTCCGCATTTTCTTTATTTACTACATTTCTGGCGACGAGATATACTACATTTTTGGCGACCGAGCATGGGATAATTTTTTTTTTCTCCGCATTTCGAACCCCCGCCGTACCCCGCGTCTAGACGGGACGTGCATTTTTTTTTAACAAGGAACGGCGCCTTTTTCCGCCTTTTTTCAAGATGGCGGCTGCGCAGGGTCGCGTTCCCGCCGAATTTCTCCCCACGCCCGGCGAACCGTCAATGCCGTGGCAGACTTGGAAGCGCGGCTTCCTCAACTACCTCGAGGCGATCGACGCCGAGGATTTTCCGCCGAAACGCAAGAGGGCGATTTTATTTTCATTTCTCGGCGAGGAAGGAAATCGCGTCGTAGAAGCGTTCAACCTAGAGAGTCCAGCCGTCAACGCGGCACAAGACGAGTTTCAGAGTTTGTTGTCCGCTTTGGACACTCACTTCGCTTCCGCTCAAAACGTCATAGTTGAGCGTAGAAAGTTCGCCATGAGGTTCCAGGGTCCAGAAGAGACCGTCCTCGAGTATCTTGGGGCGCTTAGACGCCTAGCATCGTTTTGCGACTACGGAGAGTCGTTGGAGAGCCGCGTCGCAGAAATGTTTATTTCGGGAATCCGTAACGCGGAAGTCCAAGATCGTTTAATCAGAGAGTCCGACGGAACTAAGGCACCTAGCCTCGAGCGTGCTGTCCAGTTAGCGCAGCAGTTCGAGCGGACGTCTCGTGATTGCGATCTCTTCCGACGCTTGTCGTTAGACGCAAGTCCGAACACGCCGCACGTGGTCGAGCGGATCCAAGATGGACGCGGTCGCGACCAAGATGCACAACATGGCGGGCAGCCTCCCCGCCGCCGCGGATCTTCCCCCCCGAGGCGTGAGCGTCCCCTTCCTCCTCCCCCGTCTCCGTCGCAGCGAGAGCCCTCCTACTCTTCCCTTCCGAGGCAGGAGCCTCCCCCTCCTTCGTCGGGACGCGAGCGGCCCCTTCCTCCTTTCCCGCCGCGTCGAGAGCGCGACCGCCGGCAATGGCGAGCTCCCTCCCGACCGTTCTTCCGTGCGCGCCCACGCGATCCTCCCCCCGGGGCGCGTCGTGTCGTTCGCGACGACGGTTGTTTTTTCTGTGGCAGACGAAGCCACCCCCGAGATGAGTGCCCAGCATCGGGAGCCACATGTTTCTCGTGTGGCCGTGAGGGACATTTTGCAAATGTGTGTCGAAGCCGTCCGAGGCACGACCGGGATCATCGACAACTGGCCCTTCCTGCTGGCCGGCGGGTCTCTGCCCGCGGCTACTACGAGCATCGGCAAGCAAGGCCTGGTCCCACAAGGACTCCCATTCAAGGCATCACCTTCCCGGACTACGAGCTCCCAGCAACAATCTACACCGTCGCGCCGCCCGATGATTTTCCGGAGCGGTGCCGTTTCTGTGGTGGCCCCTGCCACCCGAGGAAGTTTTGTCCGGCCGCACACCGTCGCTGCTTCTCCTGCCAGAAGCAAGGTCATCTAGACCGTGTATGCGAGAGTCGACCCCGGTGGCCACGACTCGACCGTGGGGGGCCTAGCAACCCTCCCACCGTGTTCGCGTCCGCCCACCGGAGGCATCCAGAGATGCGTCACTTTTCGGCGCCCCGAGCGCCATGGTCCCGGCCCCGGGGAAGTACCTTGCCCCCGGAGCCCCCACTTCTTGCTGCAGCTCCGCCTGCAGTTCTTCCTGCTGCAGCCCCGCCTGCAGTTCTTCTTGCTGCAGCCCTGCCTGCAGCCCGGCCGGCTCCCCCAGAGCCGCCTGTTCCTGTCCTTGGTCCGGCTAGCCCGGACACCACCAATCCAGATCCTGCGGGTCAACGTCCTGACCCTGGCCCGAGTCCCGAGGCCCCTCCTCCTTTTCCTGAGGATCCTGTTCCAGCTGGGAGTCCCCTTCCCGAGGGTCCTGCTGAGGTGCAACCAGTGCCAGTGCAACCACCTGTGAGTGGGTGTTCGGTACCCATCACAACGCAGCCCAAGTCGTTCCCCAGACCGGAGCCACCAGAGCCCCTGGGTCCAGACAAGTCCACTCCCCGGCAAGAGAGTCGCAAGCGTTCAAGTCGACGACTGCCGGGACGATTTAAAAGCTATGTGCTAACACTAAAGGAACTTTTAAGTTAATTTCGACAAGTACATGAACATTCAGTGAATTTTTTTTTCTTATCCAGCTTACTGCCCCAGCGCAGCCTTTTCCAGTGTGTGCTTTCCGCAAATCTTTTGCGACGTGCTTTTCCTTTTCATTAATTTCACATTTTCCAGTGTCTTGACATAGAAATGTCATTTCATTTCAGTACATTTCCATACTTCCCAACTGCCCTGCAGTTTGGCGTCAGTTTTCGGGAAAAAAGTCTATTCAATTTTTTTTTCCTAAGAAAGGGAAGGATAGGTAGTTATTTTTTTTTAAGGAAAGGAAAGTGTAGTATTTCAATTTTTTCATTTAAGTAGTTCTCGCCACACTAACCAGATGGCGCCACCGTTACACCATTGTCCGTGTTATCAGGGTAGCGTCCCCGTGGCGCTCAACCCCCACGTTGTTGACCGTTAAATAAATGAGTTACGACCCAGCCACCGTCGTCGTCGGACGTCTCTCTCTCTCCGTCCGGGGCTCCCGCGCCCGGCCCCGCCGGCGCCCGCCGTTCACCTCTTCGGCATGTAAGACCCCTCGTTTTCCGCAGGCCCACGCAGGCCCTGCTCTTCTTTATTTTCACGGGTGTCCGCATTTTCTTTATTTACTACATTTCTGGCGACGAGATATACTACACCCAGCATACCAAGACCCCTCGATTTCACCGACCGAGCGGCCTCGGACCTGCAGCTCATGGGAAAAAGCGTTCGGTCGCGCTGGCTTCCTCAATCTCGCGGATTGAGCGTGCCCGCGCGTCAACGAGGGAAGACACCTGGACGTCTCAAGGTCGCTGTGGCGCTCGCAGCTAGCCGCTCATTTCGCGGTTTTTGAGGATTAGCCCTATAGAAAAAGCCGACACAAAACGAGGCTCTGCCGTCACGTGATTTTTGGGAGAGGGTGAAAAGAGGAGGGCGCTAGGGGCATTTTCCTACCTTGCGGAAAATGGTTTCGTTGGTCGGTCTTTAACTGCGTGGACACGTCATCGTGACGTAGGGGGATCGTCAGATTCTAGCTGACCGCGTGCGTGAACCCGAACGTTGGGGCGGAGCCTAAACAAGAATCATTCTAGTATGAGGCTCCGCCCCTTCTTTCTCGATACGTCACAACTCGAAAGATGCCCGTTTGCGACCAGAATAGCACCCCTGGGGACCTATGTTGGACTTTCGAGAAACTAGAAACAGAACCCTGCTGGAAATGAGGCGCACATTCACATTGAGGAAGTAGTCAGAATTAATGTGTGCCAATGTGCAGTGTAACACGAATGTGCAAAACCAAGAGTTTTCTCATTGGTGCACATAGGAAGACTGCAGGGAAGCCACAATCTTAGAAAAGGGGCAGTTTTCTGATTGAGGTGAAGCCAACCTTGGGGAAAGAACTCGGGCAAGTTTCTATGAGCACCAATGTGCTCCTATGAGCACATTGGCGCCGATAGCACCAATGTGGTTAAAAAGACATTTTCTCATTCGGGCCATGGGATACATTGCAGGAAAGACAAAATCCGGGGGAAGGGTTACTTCATAAAGCAGGTGAAGCCAACTTTAGGGAGATCTCAAGCAATCTCACCATTTTCTCATTGGTGCTTGTAGAAACACTACAGGGAAGCTGCAATCCGGGGCAACCAACTTCCAAAGCCAAGTTTGTAGACGATAGCTGGCAGAGTCTATGAAGACCATTAGCACCAATCTGCGTGATGCCTCTTTCGCTTATTACTGCCACTCTAAACACTACAGGGAAGCTGCAGCGTGAAGGCGTTGACAAGTGAAGTCAATCTCTAGAGTCGGCAAGCACTTATTAGAACTAATAGTTTGCTCATTAGTGTCCATACCTTGACGTATTATCACCGACTTGTTATATACTAAATACAAGCTCAATTACCATGCCAAGGCCGCACCAGAGGGTTCCCTCCCCCAGTCGCACAACTATCTATGCTCACTATTATGCCAACCTGAAAATAATTGGTATAATTGGCTTTCGTATGGCACAAGATTTTTTTTTTTATAGTGCCCCGAGTAGAACTGAAGTCCCAATCGTATGAACATTCAGATTTTCATGCAGGGAACAAACTTGCAGCAGCCTGTAAAGCAGTAGTAGGTACTGGTACACAAGAATATCACAACTGCTCTTTCAAATACAATGCTTTATTTTAACTGGAAGCTGCAACCTTTCACAGTACAAAAGTAAAGCATTTTCCATACAGTAACCCATTGTACGTGTTCTTGTTTAATACAGCCCTAGTCACCTTCATCTTTATGAAAACAGACTTCTCCCAAAGAGCAATTATCCCTACATTATTGCTTAATCATGGTGTCTACCAAACTATTACATGTCAAATTCGCAGACTTTTCTAGGTTTTCTTTTACATGTGAAACTTCAGAACTAGCTACACTTGTAGTTCCGTGCGGCAGGAGGGACGCACATGCCAAGAAAGGCTGACGCCCAAACCATAAGGCTGTTTCCCTCTAAACAAAATGCTACATAGATGGCTCTGTTAAGTCAGTGATCATTTTCTCAGATTTAGCTAAGTTTTTCATGATTTCCCTGACTTTTTCAGAAGCTCAAAAGTTCCTTTGCAATTATAGCTTTTTTAGGTTGGTAGACACCCTGCTAATGTCAGTAGGTATGTTTGATTTAGCTGCACCCACCTGCATGGTGCAGAAAGTGTACAGTGCAGGGCAATGTAATTACGGTATGCATTGTCCAGGATTAAAGGCATTTCACATAATGGAACAAGGACAGACACCACAAGTGGTTCTGTCCTCGTCCTTTTGTTACAATATTTCGATCCTGGAGACCAAACACAACAAGCCCCTAAAGAGTCCTCAAGATAGTCTGCACCAACAAGTAGGATACAGTGATGTACATACACTGAGAGTACCAGTGCAGGTGGTGTAGGCAAATCAAACATACCTACTAACATGACATGATGGTTACTCCTTTTCATAATAGTTGGGCAAAAGGCTGGCAAATAACTTGTTGCCTGACCGCATGACAACAAATTTTGACAAGACATTGTCTGCTGAGACAATCCTCACATTCTGCTTAGAATAATACTCATTTACATGGGTCACATGAAGCGTTCTTGACGAGACATACTCTTCAAGAAGTAGCACACAACGGTGAACACCATTTTCCTTGTATACACAGATTTTCAATATTTCTCCAAACAACCCGTTTTTCAATTGTACAAAGGAATTATTGCGACGCTTGCATTTACCATATTCTTTAGAGTGCAACAACTCACCTCCTGCAATCACCCTTTTATACACAGTACAGACACTGCCAGGTAAAACAACAGAGCTACCAAAAAAATTGTGGCTACTTCCATGTTTTAAGCCTTTGCCAGTAAGGTGGCATTTCTCCACCTCATTTGTATGCACTAAGCGCTTTGACCCAAGCAAGCCCTCACAAAACTCTTGCACTGTTTGTTGCCTGATGTAGTATTTAACGAAGTAGTACACAGAGCGGTACAAAAGATAACTCTTGGCTATTTGCAGAGGTACTTTTCGTGTCCCTTTTGCTAATTTTAAAAGAAAGCCGTTTGCAGATTCATATGCAAAAGCAGAATGGGCCCATAACGGGCCCCACTCTTTTACGCTTTTCGGCAGATGAGTGAGAAGATGGACGTTATATGTCATTGACGTTTTCGTGTACAACTCTTGCATCCCACAAACAAACTCGGTCAACATAAGGTCGGCATTATTCACATCTGTATGCGTCACAGAGTCCTTGAGCAGAGCATACACACTCTGTGAAAGCAAAGCAAAATGTTTAAGATATTTTCTTGGAAGAATGCCATCCAGGCAAGGAAAAGCATAGTACAACAACCAGCATTTCCACTCCGACGCCTTCCAGAACCGTCGCTCAGAAATGGGCCTTGGCAGTCGAGAAACAGTTTTGGGGGGAAACATCCTTTCTAATCTCTTGTTAATTTTAGCTACAGTCGAGGGCTCTCCAATATAAAACTTTTCACCAACAGACGAGAACCATAGCTCTGCTAGTTGCCGTACCACCCCAAGAAGGACAGCATGCATGTAGTCTGGTACGAACCCAGATACTATCCCAAACTTTGGCATGTTTATCAATGCAGACGGGCCCTTGACACCAAAAATGGTTGTCTTCGTTACAAATGCTTGTTCCATTTCCTTTTCCATTGTCTCATTAGTCCTGTCGGGGTAGCATTCTGGGCCTACAGGGTACTTGACAACATTACCTACGTTCTCACCAGGGTGGTAACACCACCCACAAGAATAATAGCCATTGAACTGCATTAACTTTTGCATCGCAGGACGAGCAACGCTGTCTACGCAGCAACAGGTTGCAACGAATTTACTATTAATAAGGGTACCATCAACATGCTTCCATGTAACTCCTATTGTAGCCAGATGCTTTGCATCATCGACAAACGACTTCAGAAACATATCCATGTTTGGTTCCCCCTTACCATACCACAAGCCTGCCAGCAGCAAATTCTTTTCCCTGGACACTGGTGGTAGTTCATTTAGCATGATATGAATAGGCCACACAGAGGCACGGGAAGATTTGAACACTGGAGCTCCATCAGTGTCAAAAGAAAATGAAAAATTGTTACAGAAAGACAAGAGGCCACCAGGTTTGGAAAGTTCCTGATACAGAGTGCCATCAAAGATGTCTTCAAGACAGGATATATTTTTGTGTTTCTTTTCATTCCTGTATTGAAGTTCCTGGACCAACCCTGGTTGATTTTCCAACATGAACTTTAGTTGTGGTGCAAGGGGTAACATGAGAAAGTAGGGTGAAGTTGTCACTGAAAATTTCTGGTGGCAATGTGGACATGTTGACTGTTGCAAACGTAGCTGCTCTCGGATGCCAACATATCCTAGACAATACTCACAGTACATGTGATACTGCATCATGAGGGAGGGACTGGAAAATGCTTTGTTGAACAGGTACTTTGTACTAGGCAGGATGTCCTTCTGGAACACGACATTGAAGAGCTGCAGGATGTCAACCAAGGCTGACACAGTAGGCCGGTGCTTTGCAAGAAATGACAGCAGAAGAACAAGCACTTCCGCTACGGTCGTTGTTGTACATTTGCAAATTTGAGTAGTCAAGTCAAAACCCTTGACGCTGAATGCTGATGGTGCATCAGAAACATGTTCAGTAGGAGAGCCAGGCTGCTCTCCTTCGCTCTGAATGTCCTTCTCTTCGCACTCTGAGCTCCCCGGAGAGCTAACTGAGAAGCTCGAAAGGCTGTCTGCGCTGCACGGAGACTCGGCCTCCTCACACACACTTTCAGTTTGCGGAATTTCACCCGAGAGCAACACCGGTGACATTTCAGCCAAAGAAATCTCACTCTGTCGAGAAGTTGGCCCACTGCAGTCTGTCTCACTTAGGTGGCCAGTGGTCAAACAAGCTTCAATCCCTTGTCCAGAACATGGCGGACCCTATAAAAGAGTGTTTACAGCAACAAATAAAAAAAAGGCAATATACTGTCTCACATCAAATAGCATTGGGCATATCATCAACACCAATGCGAGCAGTATCAGGCACTATATTTTGCAAAAGACCTTCAGAGCGCAACACATGTGCTGGTGCAGCAAACTGTCCTTCGGAAGCCATTTGGCACCATGGTCGCTGACAGGCTGAAGCCACACGGGAAGCTGCGCCCCTCTTCCTCCTCCACCTCCACCTCCACCTCCACCTCCACCCACCCACCCACCCCCTTCACTTCCCCCCCCCCGCCCGCCCCCCCCGCCCGCCCCGCCCCCCCCCCCCCCCCCCCGGCAGCAAAAACTTTCTAGCCTTGATAGCACAAGCATGAATGCGTAACCGAAGCACACTTGTGCTTTGGCGCTTCGGAGGTAACGAGCGTCTACAGGAGGTAGAGCTTCTGCAGCACTCTACCCCACACCAACCAACCGTACATGAGACCCATTTCAGTGCTCAGGAGCAGACATACTCATATCTACAGGGTGAAACAAGGAGACGGCAGGCTCTTTAAATCGACCGGAAAATTCGGTTTCTTAACCTATCGCGCTACGACTTTGTGCAGCGTTGCCCACAGATGGTGCATTTTTTTTTTGTAAAATTTGCAAAGAGCGAACTTACCTGAGGAAAAAGTAAAGAAAGAAAAAGGCTTAGCTCCGACGGAAACTCAGCGACGCCACCGGTCTTCAAACAACACGGCGCCGTTTCGCACGGGACACAAGAGATGGCGCAACGAACGCCGTCAACGAACGAGCATACGGCGCCGAGTGCCAGCGTCAGCAGACAATCTTTTCGACTCAAAAGCAACACTCGTTCCGCAGGCGGCGACAGTCGCAGAAACAAAAACAGACGCGGTAACAACGAGGAACTGCAGTTCCTTGTCTGCTAAATACGCCGGCTCTCGGCGTCGTCTGCTCGTTCGTTGGAGGCAGTTGGCGTCGCGACCGCTTGCGCCATCTCTTGTCTCCCGTGCGCAACGGCGCCGTGTTTGAAGACCGGTGGCTTCGCTGCGTTTCCATAGGAGCTAAGCCTTTTTCTTTCTTTACTTCTTCCTCAGGTAAGTTCGCTCTTTGCAAATTTTACAAAAAAAATGCACCATCTGTGGGCAACGCTGCACAAAGTCGTAGCGCGATAGGTTAAGAAACCGAATTTTCCGGTCGATTTAAAAAGCCTGCCGTCTCCTTGTTTCACCCTGTAGATTAAGGGGCTGTTTATACTCCGACGTTGAGCGCAGTGAACGCAGCGTAGCGCAGAACGCGCGCCTTTCATTGGCCGGCAACCAGGAACTCGATACCTGCGACCAATCAGTATCTGAGCACGCTGCGCTACGCCGCGCCCGTCGACGTTACGTTGGAGTGTAAACGTACCTTAAACCAGCAGTCGAGCGGGAAGGCACGTGAAAATTATGTTTCATGCTCTGAAGAACGTGCTCTTGCAGGGCATCCTCCTTCCCCACAAGATGGACCCCATGAAACAGATGCTGTAAAACTATTGCTGCTCGCGAGCCACAATTTCACTAATTAGAAAAGATTTAGAACTTAGTTTAACCGTACACAAATAATCCAACCTTTAAAGGCCTGGATTTGGACCCCTGGAATAGCCTGCACCAACATAATTTGATCCTCTCTGGTGGTGGTGCATAGCCTTTACAGTACTAATTCTACAACCAAAAAACAAGCGTTACCAGCGGGCGGAAACGAGTCGGCGCAGCTTCCAGTGCATTAACGGCACGCTTTCACCACCAGCAAGAAGAGCAGCTTTGACGTCACGTGCAAGCCATGATGGTCCCAGCCGGATTTAAAAAATATAAAGGCCGCACAATAAAAACGTTTTACAGTATTTGACAAAAATTAAGAAAGCTTGAACATGAGAAAGAACGGCACGCACAGTATGAGTTTAGGTTATAGGGACATTATATGTTCGATCGAGTAGCACCACACGTCAATTTCGCGCTTTCTTAAATTTTTTGTCCGTATTCCAAAGATTTCAATCTAAGGCGCCCAAGACGTCTTCGATTTCCAAGACGTCGTCGTCGTCGTTCTTGACATCGTCAAGGCTTTTGAGGTCTTGGGCCGTGTGGGGTCTTACATGATAGAATTTTCTTTCAGATTTTCGTTGCAAGTTTTCCCATACAAGTGCAAGTTTTCCCCTATTTGTGTCCAAAAAGCAAGTTGCAAGTTTTGCCATATTTGTGTTCAAAAAGCGACGAAGCTCGCCCCAGGGCGTTCGCACGCGCACATCGAGCGCCGTCGGGCGAGCTTCATCGCCTATTCGTCAGATATTCGCTCACAAAGCCCAGCCCAGAAGCACTGCAGCAAAGCATAGGAGCCGGAGGTTGGAAGCAGTGGCTCGATACAGAGAAAGACGAGAGCGAACGCACACGGTATTTAACAACGAAAGACCATGCATGAAGTAACGCTTGAAATGAACAAACTCACATCTCCACGATTGTGAGACTGCGCAGCTGACTTCTGCTCCAAAGATCGCGGGGCGCCTTCAGCAAGAATCTGACAACAAAAAGATTTCGTCAATAAAATCTTACGGTTCACCGACTATAAAAGCCTACCTATTCGGTCTGATGCCACCGAGCACGCGTCGACCGCGGCACGCTCTCTTCGGATAAAGGTGCCAGGTAACGTCGGTATTGCTTCGGCCGCTGCTTACTGGCCATAATGCCGTTTCATATGCAGAAGTTTCGGCAGAATCGGCGTAGCGCTTGTTTGACGAGCAATAATGGCGAAGAATGACGCGGGAAGAGCGGGAAGCGGGATTAGTAGCGGTACAGTGGCTGTAGTAGCGGGATTGGCGGGATGGCTACCCGGGGACCTGGGTACTTCGAAAACGTGAAACGCACGCCATCGCGCCATAAACCGCATTGTAAACAAAACCATCTTTACAGTCTATAGTGCTAATAACAACGTCCTGAACTAAATATAATTCTAAGTTGTAAAATGAAACTTAATTTTTTTTTATTAGAGTTATCCTTCTCTTCTGTATTTGCCATGGGTGTTAGGTGGCCGTCTCGCCATATGGCCAGCCGGAGTCGGCGCGCGGTTTCAGTTGAGCCGGTTGAGCCAGTTGAGCTGCTAGTTTTGGTTGCATCACCTGCTGCGCATGAGCTTTCAGTTGCTGAAAAGACCGCAGGACATCTATTCCTACAGGAAGAAAGGGTAAGATTTTATTGCAGTAAAATATAGTTCAACAGCAGTTTGCGCCGGCGCATGGTTGGATCGGCGAAACGAAACTGCGATTCAGGCAGCAGTTTGCGCCGGCGCATGGTTGGATCGGCGAAACGAAACTGCGTTGCACGCGTTTTTTTTTTTTTCTCACTTCTTTTTCGTCTTCTTCTTCTTCTTCTTCTTCTTCTTCTTTCATATTTATATATAAAGCGAAAAGAGTACGTTTAATCGAAGTGTGGTTTAGAGAAATGCGATGTGTGCACGGCGGGAACCTACACTTGCAAGCAAACCATGCTACGCGCGCTCGCTGTCGCTCGAAGGAATGTTAATCTCAAGTTCGAGCACGCACCTACAAGGGTTCATCGCTGAGTACTCGTCAAGCTAGGCTGATGAATCAGAGAAACATCGGAAGCAGCATGCCGGGGGTTGCCATCTTCTCGAAACCGAGTTTCGACTTTCGAGGCAGCTCGAAGAAACTGTTTTCGCTAAAACTGCGTTCGTTAGAACGAGCTTCTCTAGACCGCACGCTGTCACGGTTGATTAAGGCGTATAATTAATATAAAAATATTAATCGGGAATTGGTGTAGTCTCGTCTTGCCTTGGTGCTTTGTTTGTGTAATAAATTACCTCGCTGATCAGCCACATTTTCTCCACCACATGCGGATGTGACGGTTGGAATTGTTTGAACATAATGCGATTACTTCACATTAAATTCGATTGTATTCTTTTCTTACAGAGATGAATTTCGCATATGTGCAATATTTTACTGGAACAGCACGACCTAAGACTATCATCAGTACATCTGCAATTAAAACTTTGAACCGAGAAGTGAGGATGACTACAAGAAGGGTCACCTCTATGATGCTTTGTTGACTCCAGACGGAGGGGAGCCGGGCTGTTTTAAAGCCCAAATACTACTTTTGGCAGGTGATATATATCAATGCAGTTCCTCACAGCAGCACACCAGAGGAGACTTGCCCTATATGTTATTGTGTGTACCACTTTGCAGACTCAAAGTCGTCGATCGAGGAGAGGATCAAAAGGGGCAAGAGGATCCCTCTACCTAAAGTCCTTGACCAGGTTGTTGAGCACAGCAGTTCGGAAGACGACCAAGCAGCTCTTCGGGTCGAAATGGCAAGCATTTTGTTGCTGCTTATCCTTTTAGAACTATCATAGAACCCCTCCGGTGCCTTCACATAATATGTACAAATGAGCTGTGTTGCCACGAAAAATTATTTACACTATGAAATAAAAGACTAAATGTCACTACAAGTGGTAACTGAATAAAACAATGGCCTTAACAGGTAAATACAGATTAAAGTATGAAAATTGATACTTCACAAAAAAAACTGATTTTAGCTGGTTTCTGGTTGAAATTAAAATTATATTGTTTTTTCATTTAGTCTGTTCGGTTTTTTGGTACTATAGTTCATTATTTATTCCCCCATATAGTTTTAAAGCACACCTTGGAAGATTACAAATTTTCTGTAATATTCAGAGAAATGAGGTTAAGTATGACTGATACATCTTGTCTAGTGTAAAACAATATATAACAATTTTTGTTCTTTTTCTCTATTAAGAAAAACGAAAAGGTAATAGGTATGTATGTGGATGTTGTCCTTATAATTATTGTGATTGGTTGACATTAGAACCGTTTATTAGACAGTGTTGCAATTGCACTTTTAAATGGAGCTATTATTAAAGCCTTGCCGAATTTGAACAATTTATAAAAGGCTACAAGTTTTCAGATATAAATTTTGCCTTTCATGGCTTGACTGAAAACCCGCAAGCCAGACCAAAACGACTATGTGAGCGCAACATAACGCGCTCCTTCCAGTATGCAGTTTTTTAACCAGGACACAAAAGGCGTAATTTCAGCTCTGAATATCTAAAAGCTTGTTGCCCTTTTGCAGATTGTTTCAATTCGATAGTACCCTAACAATGGTTTGCTTAACTACAATTGTAACATAGCCCCAAACAGTTAATTTACAGATTTTCGTTAATTAGTCAACATACTAGTGATGTTTCTCAAAGGCTTGATAAGCCGAGTGCAGTAATGCAGTGAGAATAGCACCCAGACAATCCGTCACCTGATTTTCTTTCTAAAATTTCATTTAAGAAACTGCATAATTGAGTTTTACACAAAAATTACTAATTTTCTATATAATTTGCTGTGATTGAAAACATAAATTGTATTGGAAGAAATCCTTATTGCAATTATATACTAAATTTTTCTTTGGCAGAGCAAAGAAATGTTGGTGTAAATTACAATTATTATTTTGACAAGAGTGTCCATGAAAATGTGACCGCCAATGAAATCAAAAGATGCTGGAGCTTTCCCTACATGGTGCTTGTAATAGTGCAGGCTCAGCAGAAATTGAATCGTACAAGAGAAGCAACAGCAAAGATGAAGCAAATAATTTCAGAAAAGTTGTCTCAGAAGCGCAAGAACCCACTTTTCCCAGAGGCTCGGAGTGCCAAGCATGCCAGGTACGAAAGCCACAGTGATACAGACAGTGGGGATGATGGTGCTGTTGTTCCCAAAAAGTTGTACGACGATCTCCATCAGAAGTATCTTGCCCTAAAAAAAACTACAAGGGAACTTAAGGAAGACGTTGAAAAGATGCGGACAAGAGAGGCCAAAAACACAGACATTCTGGATGTGATTCTTGAGGGTGTAAACAGCATCAAATCAAAGCTCGAGAGCACTGGAGCATGTGCGTATCTCTTTCCTTCTGAAGCATGAATTTTACAAAAAAAAAAAAAAAAAGCCTAAGACAACCATAGTGATTTAAAATGTTTAACTTAGTTTTTTTTTTTTCTTTTTTTTGCGCCGTCAAGGATGCTCAATAAATGCAAACACCAAGCATGATATCGTGAAGAAGGCTAAACTCAGAACTGACGGAAGAACGGTAAGCTGATGCAGCAAATTTTTTATAGCCTGTGGTTGCCGTTTTAGTTTTTTTAATATTTTGACAAAGTACTGGAAAGGACAAAATTATAAAGAAGCCACAAGCTAGATTTATATCTGCTCTTAAAATCTGCAATTAGAAAATGGCCGATCAATGTTTTAAGATTGTGGTCATGAAATAAAGCTGGCTTGAACTGTCGGTTAATTTGAAGTTTGTGTACTTGCTGTAATTTCCAACAGCTTCGTAGGATTACAAATGAAGCCTTTATTGTTTTTATTTATATCCATTGCTCTGCTTCATTTGCAGGTCTGTGTAAATGACAGTGTTACCCTTAGTTTGGACCAATGGGTCGCCTGTCAGCGACAAAAAAAAAGAGTCCAAGTTTGTGAGGAGTCTGGCTACTGCCATATGGGGACGCAATATTTTGAAAAATCGATCTACGAGTGGCAAGGTGTCTAACCGTTTGATAAATGATGGAGGTGCTGCGAAGCCACCACTGACTCCAACAAAACTTAATGTGCTAGAAGGTGAGTAGCTTGTAGTTTACGGCACTTTCCGTGTTTACTCCGTTTTATCACTAACTGATTACATTCAACAGGGCCGCCAAATTTCTCATGACCTGACTACAAGGTGAAGAAGAAGCAACAGATTAATATAACCAACAAATGGAGATTTTGGAGATGTTACTAAAAAAATACTACACGAAATAATGTGCAGCGTATCGAACCTTTTGAACATTTATTTTTACCTGTTTGGTATATTATATTTCACAGTAGTGCACTAGATTTTTTTCGGTAAAAGTTGCATGCATTTAACTAGGCATCTTTTAAATATGCAGGGCATTTTTTCTTCCATAATTTTTACATGGGTGGATAACCATCACCTGTATTGACTAACTAACCAAAACCTGTTAAAAAATGGTTTAATGGGCATGTTGCAATTGGTGGTTGACTGTGGAGCAACTACCGAGGATATGCTGTACAGATAGTGACGAGATGACTAAAACAACTGTCACTTTTCTATGGACCATTATCGGCAAAACTTCCCAGATTCTTTTTGGTGCGCAGTTCTTGAGTTAGGCAACGAAAAAGAAAATTTTAACAATGAACGTTTCAAAGCGACAAATTTTTACGAATTGTCGAAATTGGGTTAGCCTGTAATAATGGCTATTTTGGGGGGCCCCCATGAGGCCCGCCACCCCCCCCCCCCCCCCGAAATCTTACATTTTGTTGGGACCTCCTCTCCCCCCTGCCCCTCATGCATCAATTTGTCATGGGCGCCCCCCCCCCCCCCCCCCCCAAAACAAAATCCTGGCTACGTGCCTGATTGCAACATGCCTCATTAAACCACTAAATAAAAAGTTAATTGCCATATATTTGTAATTTGTCTACATATTCTGACAGTTATCCAGCCGTCTATGTCCGTCATGCCCACAAATATAAACTAAAGGATAGACGTATCACATTTTTTTTATTTATATAAAAGATAAAAATATATCTGCATACTGCAAGATTAAAATTACCCCACACTTAGGTTGTTTTAAATATTACAAATTTCTCTGTCAAAATTATGCAGAGTTTAATAGTTGCATTTTTTTTCCAGCATGCTATGAGGACTGGCTACGTGAACATGGCGCCAGTGGCGATGTGTTGGCTGAGCGGATGGCAGCAATGACACACACATAAACAGCGCCGTACGTGACCTGGGCCGTGACGTGCGGCATGCGCTAGGTACTGACCAAGAATAACGGACCAAGTGTCTCTGGAACTATTCTTGTCAAGGACGACGCTTCCTATGTTTCCACATGTATTATTTCAGAAAAGTAAAATTTGTGTTTCAACACTGGAGTGTCTCTCACTTCGCCGCAAGGTAGGTTTGCTGTAGCTGTTTTTTAGTGTGCTTGCCGCATTAAAAGCAGCTACAGTAGACCTTTCCCGCGATATTTTCTGCCATTGAAATAATATTAAAAATTCAATGAGCATAACATACAAATCCCTTAAAATTTCACATTACTGCTGCTGGATTTTCACTTCTTCAGCTCATTGATGCTTATTCGTTTCTATCCTGCATTCTCATTCAAAACGATTGAATCCTTACAAAGCACATAACCGCTCATGGCAGTCTGCCTATTTTGCTCATTCGGGCACATTCATTTTCGCACCGAAATACATATCCATTTTGTCTCATTTTCTATATTCAGCTTGTGGGTTTCTAGGGTAATTTCACATTCAAGTTTCATCGGGTTGCTCATTCATGCACATTGGTTTTGGTGCAAAAATGAATGAGATTTTAGCTCTTTTTTCCAGCAGGGAAGTGACGTACCGGTAGGAGGAGCGTAACCAAGCAACGGCGCGCACCGCGAAACCGCCCTCTTTGACGCCGTGACGACATGGCAAGATTGACGTCTGTCACTCACTTGAGAGGCGTCAAGAGCCAACCACCGAAGAGCGGAAGTAGCTACGCTGTCCCCCTGCCGTACCTACGCTTTCCCGGCGTTACCTATCTGGAACCTAGTCCCTACTCAAGCGTCTGTTTCTCCGGCAACCGGAAAGGCATTTTCTGCTTTTAGTCAAGCGATGGCAGCCAATCCCTTGCGGCGGCGACCTTCACATCGGCTCTTTCTAAAGAAACTTGTCAAACTAAAAAAATACAAGTGTTCTATTGAAATGAACAAACGATTTTGTAGCGGTTCCAGAAAATATTAGATGGAGTAAACTCGCATAAAAGGTTAGAGCAACATGCGGGACGCGGATGAGCGCCTAGTTCAAATTACTGGCGCTCATGACTGCTCAAGAAACGGGAGGATGTGGCCTCTCTGATACGCGGCGCAACTGAGCTGAGCCCGGCGCTGTCCAGAGACGACAAAGTTCGTCTCTGGAACGAGCTAACCTCCCGGCTCAACTTCCTCGGGCCTCCAAGGAAGGAGCCGGAAGGTTGGAAACGCTACTGGGCCATGCGGGTGTCGAAGGCGCGGGAGCGGGCTACGGAGCTGGCGAAACAGGCGAGGTAATTTGTGTAGTTTACTCAGAGTGTGGACCAAGCTATTGAATTACTTCCTTTACCCGCAGGCAAATAGGGGGCGGAGGCGCTCGGGTGCGCTCGCTGGCGTCATCATACTCACGTATTTTGGCGCTGGTGGGCGAGGACTCGGCCCTGGGCGCTCCTGGGTTTTCTTTATTTGAAACCAACAGGTCTGCACTCTAGCCACAACTTGCCACCCGC